GCCAAAAAAATGGTGCAGGAAGCTCCGAAGTTCCTACTTGGATAACTTCAAAGAAGCCTAGACAGTGAGGACAAATCAGCAGATTTCAACTGCTCAACGTAGGTGGGTTTCGAACCCCGGCTAAACAGTTTTTCGCAGTGCCAGTCCATGTTCTGGGACTGGTAACCCCTCGAGGCGCCACATGGAAAATGGGTGCGATGCCTTCTCCTGTGGAGCCTTCTGGTCATTCTCCTTCTCCGGTTTCTTCGGCTTGCCTCACAGCATCCCGAAACGTAGAAGTTTCGCATGGCGTTAGTCTAGGCACTTTAATTAAGCTTTAATTTCTCGGTGTAGGCGAAGCCAATGGCTTCTACATGTTTCTACACATGCAAGGTAGTCAACGACTGCAAATGTGGCCACAACCTCCTCCACGTGGTTTCTTGGGATGCTTCTTCACCTGAAGATGGACCAATCAATGGCACTGGCTGGATCGGATTGCCAAGGCTTATTCTAAAGCATTCTGGTCGGAATGTGGACATGGAACAATACTTCTCAGGCTTCATTCCTCTGCTTGGGTCCCAAGGGCAGTTTCTTTTCATATGCCTCGGACGCAATCAACGAAAGGTGTAAAGCAAACATCCTCACCCTGAATCATCATATGCTTCTGACATCTTCATTATTTGTTATTGTTTTGCATTTTGCATCACCCCTGCCAACAATTCTGGAACAGCGCCTCCGAGAAAAGCAACAGGCCCACTTCCGACTATTCCCTGCAACATGTCCCACTATACTAAGAAGCTTCAAAGACATACGAAAAAGCTTTCTTGTTACTGCAGGTGAAACGATTCCCAAGGAAGCTTCTAGCTACTAGAAAGCCCCTCAGGATTTGTGGCCATCTTCTCAACGGCTCCAAGAGCCAACCACCCGCCTAGTATCAAGAAGCTACTAGGAGCAAAGGCATCGCTACTAGTAACAAGAAGCTACTAGGGGCTCCTGGCCCTACTACTAGGAGCAAGGACGCTACGAATGGAGCAAACGGCATCGCAGTCAGCGTCCACACGGCCCACCTCCACTTCACGGAGCTGCTGAGAAGTCAAATGCTCATAATCCCCGTCGTCGTACCTGGCGAGGTGAGGTGCTTCCTTGGTGTCCGGTTCAAGTCGATAGAGTGAGAGATGTGAGAGGTCGAATGCAATGGTAATAAACATATGGGTTTGTGATATCAAAAGCATCCTAAAACATGGGCGCTTCATCCTGTTTGTTGACCCGTGTGCCACCAAGCAGGTCGCCGCTTCCTTCTGCGGAAAACCATAACAGGTAGAGCCGAGATTTGGGGTGTTATATTCGAGTTAAGGCTTCGTGACGGTGTTACCTCTGAAAGATGCGGTCAATCTGGCGGACTGTCCAGTTCATCCGGCGCGGCACTTGATGAAATATAGACGTTCTTGAGAGACTTGGCCCACCTGCACATGGAGGAGCGATCCGTCTGTGGGCCATTTGGACCAAACATCGGCATGATGGAGGGGCAACCACAGTGAGCAACAGTTAATAACACATCAATATATGACGTACAGTATTATATGACCTCCATTGGATCATCTTCCTATCTTCCCTGATAGGGTCTCTTGACCTGTCAATCTTCCGAGGTGTGTTGGTCCTCGAAGAAACGCCTTTTTCGATGCCATTCCCATTCAAGTCTGCAGTCCGTGTACGACGTTAGCTGCCTTTCTCCAAACATCTCTCCAAAGGTAAGCAGTGAGACTCTAAACCCATTCCCAGGCAGGGACAAAACTGCAAACATGCTTATACCATTGACGATCTGGTGGATCGTGCTACACACCTGGGCCGGACCTGCATACACAAATATGGTGAGCCAACATCGTGTTTACGACCGGTTGAACCGGTGGACCCGATGTACCCAGCTCCACCCACCAGTTGTCCCAGCGGCCACGAGTAGCGGCCTCAATGTCTTGGACCACTCCGTGGCACATCTGGCGAGAACAGCAGCAGAACCAGTCGGCGTCCCCCAAAAAGAGATCCCCAAAGAAAGGAGACTGGAACAATTGGGGGGGGTGCTGGGAGCTAATCCCCCCAGCTGTATCGGTCTGGAAGGATCGTGCCATTGGTTTGGGAGAAGATCGGTCCAGTGTTTCCTACCTCATTGTAAGAATATGTGTGGCTTTCAACGGGCCCTTTGTTCAACTCCCTGAGTTTTGTTCTTCCCCCACCAGCTCTAATAGTTCTATAGCTAGTGTGCAGGGACTTTTTTTGGCCTTCCAAGCGAAGAATTGGATCTTCCCAAGGACATCTGACATCACAAAAACATGCAATTCTCCGCAACATCGGAGCCTCAACCCCATCCAAGCACCATCAGCCCTCCCCATGCCTTGCCGTTCACCTTCTTCGCAATGCGCGCGTTCCGGAACTCGTCTTTCATCTGGGCCAAATGCGCTGATTGGACCCCCCAAAGAAAGACAAAACCACTCCTGAGATCTATAACCCCTGCCACCCAATCCATCAAAGGCTCTTGGCAAACCAATCACCAAGCAAGTACAGTGGTTTCAGAGTAGATGGCCATGGCACAAACAGCAAGATGTCTTTAGATGGGGTCCATATAGACGACCTTTTAGATTGTGCCATCTCTCAACCCACCAGATTCTTGCTGAGGTCAACAGGAGCCAACAGCATCGGAGCCTTCCGTGCCTTCCACACCTCCACAGGGATCCCAGCGGCACCCACGAGGGTAAAGCATGCCCGGCACTAGCGAAACGCCTCGCCTTCTCTTCTTCGGGCAGGCTGACGAGAGCTTCGTCCTCCTGCACTGCTTTCTTCGAACATCCGCCAAAGTGGAGTTGAATGATCGGGTCCAACTCAGGAATGTGCTGGGAGCAAGGACGCTACTATGGGCTCCTGGCCATACTACTAGGAACAAGTAGCTACTAGTAACAAGAAGCTACTAGGGGCGTTCTAGTAGGCATTCTGACTCTCATCTCTTGAGTGCATACTTTCCATGCTGATGTACCAAAGTTGCTTCCAGCGACGATTTGAACAACTGCACATCGCGGCTGCCCATTCGATCCCAACCTATCACAGACCATCATAGGCCAAAAGTTCATGGTGGTCAGTCTTAGTTTTGTTCGAAAGCAGGATCACTCAAGCCCTACCAAGCAACTCTCAGAAGCCTTCACGACCTGCCCCTCTGATGCTTGTGGGCAAAAAAAGGCCCAGTCCTCCGCTGAGCGCCAGTCCTCTGGTTCCGGCTTCGGCGCTGGTGGCACCTGGAAATCGTGGCGCTCACTCTTCCCCAACGAAGCCTAGATCTTTTTCCCCCAAACATGATAAAACGATGATCGTATAAAGGTCGACTTCGCCAGAAGTGAGACTTCTCAAGATCAGATCGACCATCCGGTGGGCATTGGCATCAAATGCCTCGTCTGGCTTCGGCGCCGGCGGGACCTGACGCTGCTTCCGTGCTCGGCATGCTCGACAACGCAAGACTTGAAACAATTGCGATTTTCTGGAATCCATACGTTGGAACAGAAAAACACAGTTGTGAAATGACTCAAACACTACACAATTGAGTACAATCACTGTTGCAACCAATGAATTCCTGCAAGTCTGTTTGTGATCCGAAGACTGGTGTTCAGGGCGCACGGGTGCCCCCGCTTGCCCATGAAAAACCGTTTGGAGCCATGATAGGATTGGATTTGTAAAACCGAAAGGCTCATCTATCAATGATTTTGGCTTTAGGAAACATGTACAGGACATCCACCCTCGAGGAGGCATTTGGACAAACACCAAGCTTTGTTGTTCAGGAAAGACCTGCCTCCGCAGGTACTTTCGGCGGTGGAGGAGGAACCTAGAAGGAGGCGTCATTCGCAAGCTGTCACCGCTGAGATACTGACACTGCCCACAATGGATTAGACATTGAATGTGCGAAAAAACAAACACTTGTCCAGCCAAATCCAGCCAACCTGCACTTGTATTTTTGTAACCTGCCCCTCTCCTCAATATCCGCTGCTGAGGCAAACACATTTCAATAACATATGGTACGGAGATGATTCACAACAACCTTTGAACTCCGGCATAACAATTTCAATAGTCACTATGCGACTATGCGCATTGAAGTGTTCGGTGGAGGCGCCGGGGCTCCGCCAAAACAGCCAGGTTCGATATTCCAAACTCCTTACCATGGTAATTCATGGCAGCGAACTGATTCTGCGGACAGTGCGATGTCAGATTCTCTCACTAGCAGCTAGTTGCAGCTAGTTGGGATCCAAACCTCGGCCCTAAAACGATGGTTGTCCTTTCTGGTCATTTTCAGAGGTAATACAGGGTCCCACGGTGTTGATTTTGTTGTGACTCCCTGAAAGCCCGTTGAAGACCGTGAACAGTCCATTGGACACTGGACACGTTCGCGCCCCGTGCCTCTGCAGGTGCTCTTGGCACTGGGACCTGTCTCCGTTCTGTCTTGAAGTCTTGAGCCGTCGTGTTCACACTGAACGATCAGAACGTCAGAAGGCACCGATCGCTACTAGAAACATTGCTCGTTCGGTTGCGATGCGCTTGGTTCCTGCTATAGCTCCTTGTTGCTAGCTACTGTAGTAGGGTTGGCCAGGAGCTACTAGTAGCGTCCTTGTTACTAGTCATGCGGAAGATGTTTCTTGGACACCAAAAGGGATTGGTTGCCCTCTTTGAGGACTTGAATGCTGGAAGTTGCGCTGCTCTCAGGCTATATCTACAGCAAGTGGAGTTGCATCCGGTCCAAGTCCAGCATACTGTGAATTGTCACAAATTATGGGATATGTTAGTTTCTGACTGTGTCCCTCTCTCTCTCTCTGAAAATCTCCAGTGGCTCTGAGAATCGCTACCGGCCTCCACATCCGGCAAAGCCTGGTGACGTGGCAAAGCCTGTGAAGTCCATGTGTTCTTTCATGCATGTGGATGGAGGCACCGATGGGAACCTTCGAACAGTCTACAGTCTGCAAACACAAAGGCTCTCGCTCAAAGCACATAGGCCGTCACTGAAGGCTTGTCAACGGAATTTCCAGGACCCACCAAAGCAACTCCCTCAACTGCCAATCCACTCTGTAGCTCAATGCTTCTTGAATGCCGCCCCAAAAAAACAGGATCATCCACCCTGTCTTCTCTCGTGCCGCGAGCAAAACTCGCGCGCGGCGTCTTCCAGGCACCTCGTAGAAATCCATCAGCGGGTCATCCTCTTCCAGTTGCTCACATTGGACTTCCGTGAGCCCATGGCCACAATCGAGAATGGACTTCACCTGGCGAGTGTCTTTTTTCTCTACCCAGTGATGGGCTGCATTTTCGAGAAGCGTCTGTCTTCTGTTGTGAGGAGTCTGGGGGCTCCCTTGTGGGGAAACAGCAAACATGAACACCTCGACAGCTTGCAGGTGCCTTAAACTCCATATTTGGTGGCAGCAGGATCTCATACTCGCCGGGGAAGAGCGAGAACTCCTTGATGCTCACCGCATGGAAATTGGGACGCAAGTGCAACAGCCACTTGGTCCGAGGGCCCTCCGTTCCGAGGAATGTGTGCAAAGACTCGACGTGAGTTGTGGTGCTGCTAAACGCAGCCCACAAAAAGCGAGCGTTTTTGGTGCACTGCTTTCCTTAGCAGTCAAGCAAGTCTGGCTGGGCTTCCCATCTTCGATCCATCTTCATAACAGCTATCTCTTCATGTAACAAACGTCAACACTTAGATCTGGAGGATGTTCAATTGCCTGAGTCTTCAGAAGAATCTCCAAACATATACAAACATGCATATGCTGGTCAACGGCGGATTCGGACACTAGAATCGCAAGTTTCTGAACCGTCTTCTGTTCTGCATCTCCTTGTATACCTTCAGCGCCAAAAAGCGTTGCTTTGAGCAGCCGAGTTTCCCAAGAGACTTTTGTCGATCTTCACGGCCCGCTGCACCGTCCTCTCTGCCACACGCGGGAGCTTGCGCATGGCCGTCAGCAGTAGCCAAATGGCATCTCTCCATGGCCTAACCTGTCCAGAAAGAGCAAATATGTCTTTGAAGTTACTAGGAGCAAGGACGCTACTAGTAGGTCTTTGAAGCTACTAGTATGTCTTTGATTGCTACTAATAACAAGAAGCTTTTAGCATGCTTTTGGCATCGTTACATGAGGGACCACAAAGTTTTTCAGACTTTGACATACAATTTTTTCATCTGTCCCTGGTCCGTTTGAAACACACCACTCAAGTCCGGAGCAAAATTAAAACTTCTGGCTATTCTGATCACGTGCTTCTCTGCACATTGCCTTTTTGGTTCATATGCATCATTGCAACCTCCTTGTCTGCACTACCCTGCCTAGAGGAGTGGGAAGCAAACCAAAATAATGACAGAAGAATGATAGGGAGCCCAACAAATCACACACATTGGCATAGAAGGTTCCCGTGGGAGATGAACATGAAATCAAAAATCAAGCACATGTAATCCAACCAATGAAGAACAATGTGGAGAGAGAGAGAGGGAGAGAGAGCGCGAGCGAGGGAGGGAAAACAGTATGTAAAAATTAAGCTTGTGAACACTGCCAAACAGCCAAACAAAGCCCCAATTACTTGGTGTGTTTTGGTGAACGCGCGCGCGCGCGCGCAAAACAGAAGAACGCGGCCACTGTAGCTGGCTTGAAAACATGTAATGTCCAGCCAATGGCCCTCACGGAAAGGAAGCCTGCATGGCGAGGACTTTCCAGTTGCAATTCTATCTACTGCACACTAAGCATACCAAAAGATTGCCGAGGTCAATCGCTTTGGTGTTTGGGTTTGCTGGTTTGCTTTCAGGGTAAGGCGCATCACGCCCCTGATGCAGGCACCGCAAAACAGCGCTGTCAAAAGAACAGCTGCAGCAACGCGCAACAAGCAACCATTGAGGGGGAGGGAGAGAGAGAGAGGTTGTTGCGGGCGTCGAGGATGCAAAAAGAGAACCTGCTGCGGAGTGTCAATCGTTCTTAACACATGAGGCTCCAGGATTCCAGGATCAAGCTTTACTGTTTGTACGACCCTGCTCAGCAGTTGCCATTTTTATAGCGGATTCTAGGGCACCTCTGGCTACCCACTCCTAGCAGGATTCCTGGATCCACATTTATATACACTCCCTGGAACTAACATGGAAGTGGATGGCCCCTTCAAAAGACCATTTTCCACTACAAATAGGTGGTGAACTCCACGTAACCATGTTAGTCTTGGGGAGTGTAATAGCATGTTCAATCCTATCTCATCTGTCTTACAACTTTCCCAAAATAAAGAACAGCCCTGCGCGTGTCGTGCCGTTTCGCTGCGCCTCGGCGCGGTTTTGCGCGCGCAGCGCTTTGTTCATGCCGTGGTAGATGGACTCCTCGGGTGGGTACATCTCAATACCTCGGGATTTGCAGGGAGGCCCAAGTCAGTGCAAAAGGGCCCGCCGGGATCAACGACACGGGAGGGCGTTCGAAGGGCCAAGCTACCTGCGGATCAATCCACATCTTCGCAAATCTTACGCACAACTAGATGAACTTAAACGAAGCTGGGTGATGAGGAGTGATCAACAGGGCAAATAATCATGAAGCAATCTCATTTTCTTTTGGTCCAAAAGGCAGCTAGTAGGCTACCTGAACCTACCTTCCCCCTGTACACGGTCTTCTTCATGCAGTTTTGCAGAGGATTTGATTGGTGCTTCACATTGCTTCACAGCCTTTTGCAAGCTCTGCACCTGACGCCCTTTTGCAACAAAATGTGCAACAAAATCACATCAAGACCATGAAGCAATCTCAGTAGGGACAACTCAATATCAACCCAATATCAACACCTGCTGATGCCCAAGATGCTGTAGAGAGTCAGCATGGCCCTCTCATCTTCGGAGAGTTGTGGGAAGTCACCCTCGAGTTCTTCAGCCCTCTTCCTGGCACGGCAACGGGGTTCGCTTTGGAGGTTCCCTGAAGCGAAGAGAGCTCAAATGGCTGGGGGATAACCTCTAAACTCTAAACAGAAGTCAAAATCACTTGTCTAAAAAAAGGCCTTGGGCCTATTGACATGAACAAAACTCGAAGTCTTTAACATGGTCTGAATGGATTTCAACAAAGCCATGAGCCATGGTGAAATATAAAATATGATTGAAGACTTGCTAGAGGAATAAAGGAACCCGGTAATTCTCCACACAAAGCCCTTATCATCTTCTCTTCCATTTGTTGATTGCTTCACTTGGCACTTGTCTTCTCTTCCGCGGGATCTTGGCCAAAGATGGATCCAACAGCGAACCCCGAACAGTGATGATTGGACCAATGAACTCACTGCCGCTCATCCATCCCGAAACCGCGACAGCCGAACGAACGAAAAAAAACGCACACACCGATGGCGCCGTCTCGTTTGATGTCGCTTCGGCATCGGATCCGCCTGGCTCTCTGCACCGAGGTGTCCAAATCCAAGGAGACTAAGTGTCGGATGGATTCGACGACCTCGTTCAGAGGCTTCCTGAGGCGGGAAGTGGTGTTCAGCACAGCTTCAGAAAGGAACACATGGCGGTTTAATAAGAAGGCGTCAAATGGGTTCTGATGCGCTTGTAGTGTTGGTTCAATGCATGTCTCCACACACAAGCAAACTTAACTCAACTTCTCATGGATTCCAAGTACCCCAAAATTCCCCCCGGGAGAAAATCACAACTGGCCTTGTATGAGCTAACCCTTTTTCAGACCATTTGGGCAATCATCGGCAGGCAAAAACGCCAGTCCATTGAGATAGCCGCAAATAGCCAAAGAGTCCTTCCCACGCAGTCACAAAAATGGACAAACAAGCATCTTTTCCAGCCCTATGATTTAGTCCTTACAGAGTTCCTCTGAAAAAAGGGGCCTGTTGTCTGGCAATGTCTCCGACCCAAGCTTCGGCTCAAGCCCGCGGAAGAGACCCGCCAGCGGATTGCGCAGCCGCCCATCCTGCTCGCAGGTGTTGTCTTTTCCGTTCCAAAACGTGTTCCTCACAACATGACCCGCCGTTCTTTACAATTTGTGGTGATGTCTGATCTTGCACTTAGTGCAACCATCAAGGAGGATGAGGATGCTCAAAACGGTTGTATCATCCGGTCGTCGGTCGTACTAGCTTCTTGTTACTACTAGTAAGGCACTTGTTCCTAGTAGCAAAGGAATCTACTAGGATCTTCCGACGTCTCGGTGAAATTCGCCTCAAGACGTGCACTTTGGAGGTGTAGAGCATCGGCCGATCGCGTGGTGACTTGGCAAAGCAAGAGACGCTACCGCGACTTGCTGCGCCTACGATGTAAGTGGGAAGGGTGGCCAATGATCCACCCTTCCAAACAGAACCAATTCCATGGGAAATAGAATTTTGGGTTCACAAAAACCTTGACATATGCAATTCACTCCAAAGTCTTTCAAAACCCAACCCTTCTCTTGAAGTTCTCCAAATGGGTCTCAAGTGAATTGGCCCTGCATCTTTAATGGATCCATTTAGTTTCATGGGGCATGTCGGCATTGCCCTCAACAAATCCAAGCGCAACATGGGTTTGCGCCCAACCAGTCGTTTACGAATGACATCTATTTCTGACTGGCCCCCATTTCGGAAAGCTTCGCAAATTCCCGCACCAGACCTCTTTCCAATCATTCTCTCTGACCATCTCTGACCTCGCCAAAACCCAACACAGAAACCGGCTCTGACCACCCCCAATTGTTGGAAACTCATCTTCCGAACCAGTAGCTGCTGCCAGGATGTATAAAAAGGATTAGAAACCATCGACCAAACCGGACCAACATACGTTTGCGTGAATTCCAGACAATTCCATGGTCTTCTGTCCTTTCCTTCTCATGTCAAGCCATACAAATGCCATAAATCTGCCATAGCTCGCTCTCAGAAGCCGCTTCTACCACATCTCTCCCGCATCTCCGCCGCGCCCGTCCCGTCGGTCCCCTCCTCGTCGCCCGCGGCGGCGATCCGCGACAGCGAGGCTGCCAGAGCCATGGCAAGGGGTGAAGAGCTGGGCGGAACTGGTCGAAGCTTTCTTTAAGGGGAACAACGTTCGGGGCTCCTGGCCGTACTACTAGGAACAAGGACGCTACTAGGAACAAGAGGGTGGATTACTTTCTTTAAGGGGAGGTGGTGGGGGAAGGGGGAACGCATGAGAATTCGAGCGATTGAACTTCCTAGAGGTGTAGCTTTATCGGCCTGTTGTGCCCAAGGCCCCACAACCTTTGCTCTCGTTTTGTGTGAAGTTCTCCGCTCTTCTAAAACTGCGCCCGACCGCCGAAAACGCCATGTGCGACAAGGCAGCGAATGCAAGACGTGGGGATGGTTGAGATTGGCCGAAATTGGTTGAGGGGTGAAGAGGGCATGATTGGACTAGTTGCAAGTCCAGTAGGTTTTGGATGGTTTTGGCATTCCTCTTTTGAACATGGCCGCATCAGCATGGAGAAAGTCGGCTAGTCAATTGTACCTTCCCTCGCCGCGCAGGTGCAAACTTGGCTTCATGAGGAGCATATTATGTGGACATGACCCTCAGTTTTCTCAGCTGCAACTCAGGCTGCGATGTGTCTTGAGCCCGGAGCATCACACAGTTGACACACTTTTGAGCTACAGCTGAAGATGATGGATGTCCATACATTGTAGTGATGTACATCCACTGGCAAACTTCGCGATGTCTCTTTGGTTTACACCCAGGGCTGGCACAAATGTCAACAAACATGGAGTATGGTCGAGTTCTCAGCACCAGAAGAATCAAAATTCGGCTCTGGTCAACCTTGGTCAATTCGTGGTCCACCATGGCATCCGGTTGCATCAGGAATAATATTCCCCCTTCGAATGCTCACCAATTGAGCGGTGGCGAAAACCTGTTGGAAACGGCGCCATGTATTTCTATGGCCATGACAAAGCCCTTCGACATGGAGGTTTTCGATGCTGCTCGGAGCAAGGATGCTATTAGGGGCTCCTGGCTTTACTACGAACGGAGCAATCGGAGCGATGGCGACTCGAACCGTTCGCGATCGGACGCTGCTCACGGTG